GCATATGGTATGAGCAACTTGAAGTGGTGTTATAACAAGAAGCAACAAGATGAGGGGGGTGATGTTCATAGTGTTATAACACCATGTTAAGAGGAGAGAGATAGAGAGAGAGATAATTTGACAGCCAACAGGTGATCACATTTCTTCTTGTCATGGAGACAACAAGAAGCACCACAACAAGATGAAACAAGGAGAAGGGGGGTGTTTTTGATGTTATAACGACATTATATGTTGTCAACTCAGCCACAACAAGAAGCAACACGATCCACAACATATGCTCTTAAGAGCATTATGAGACCACATTTTTGGTCCTTGACCACCCCTTAGACTCTCCTTCCTACAAGGTTTCTTAGATTCAAAGATGGACATGGTTTGAATCGATCAAATCTACACTAATATTCGGTAGGATTTTCAAAGGATAAGTTATATTGTTCCTATCTTTTATGCCTACAAATATTTCTATCCACTAACATAATGAAACGTGTTATTATTCTATGATTCAGTTTAATTTTATTTGACATATTCCTAATATATACTCTTAATGAGATAGTTAAGTAAATATAGAATGATGATACATGTCATAATTTTAATAGATAAGAATATTTATAACATAAGAGACAATTTAATTTCTCTTTTCAAAGCGGGTCACAATTTTTATGATAGCCACCTTAAATTGTTTTAGAATAGTCTAAAGAAACTTATTCTACATGGCAAAAATACAAGAAGTTACATTGTTCATATGGAAGATGGTCATTAGTACACATCTTACATACAATTGTGATAATAGTGATGCAAAATTTGCGTATTATTCGATTACAATGGCTAATACCAAACAAGGAAACAAAATTTGAAGTTATTCCAACTAATTAAAAACACCAAAAGAAAGTCTCTCTTTAGGTAGTAAGAATAGGAGGAAGGAAATCAGATTTCATACCAAGGATCTTCGCACTTGTATCAGGGAAACATTCAGTTCCTGGCAATTCTGTAATATCACCATCCCTAGCAATACCAACGGGGTATCGCAGCAAGTGACCTGGCAAATCACGTTCAAGATTTTCACTGGCGTAAAGTTCCCAACATTTGTCAGCCACATCATTCACCTTTCTCACGCATTCAACGTTTTCTGGGTGCTCAAAGGTCTGATCAATCATGCCAAGGTGTTCATACCATAAAGCCATACGGAAGCCATGGATCTGACCCCTGGCTGGTGACCTGGCTGAAGCTAGATGATTAGGTTGATATGCTCCCATGGCTATTTCAGAATCCCTAGCACCATCCATGGATCGTTGGTTGATGTTCGCAGATCCAACTATTATGTATTCATCATCAACTGCACCATGGTAGATGTAACTTAGTCACTAAATATGATTAACGATTGAAAAAGTTACCATTTTGGTGACTTGGTTTATCTGATATTTTCCATTTTGGTCCCAAATAGTTTAATATAGCATTTAGCCATTATCTGAAGATTTTACAACTATTTTACTTGAAACATTAACTAAAAAGTGCTTTTCAAGAAAAGTGCCATAAATGTTGTAAAAACTTCAAATAATAACAAAATTTGCAAGAGAAACTGTTTTTGAATCAAATTTGAAAGCCAAAATAAGGTGTTAAAAAAATTATTTACTCTTATTTTTTTATTACTAAAATACAAGTTTGGTCCTTTAGGTTTTAAATTTTTTTTGTTTTTTCGAAAACAATATCTTTGAAACATTGACAGTTAAGTTAAAGGGAGTGGTGTTAAGCTCATTGAAGCTCAAGCAAGGATGGGTAGACTTTTGTCAAATTGGGAATAATAGAGTGAGTGGGTTGCCAAGTGAGGGAGAAAGGTAGAAGAAGAAAAAGTGGAGAAGGAGAGACTGTCTATCCTCTACTTGGACCCACCGATTTGGCTCGTCGAACTTGGAATGCCGAGCCTATGGGCTGGTGTCTTCTGAGGTACCTAAGCAAATGTCGAAGCCACCAGGACAACCTTATTGGATTGTTTTATAATATAGTTTTGGTCTCATGGTTGTCAAATCTAACAAACTAGCTATTTACCTATCATCATTTTGGAATGGACATAGATCATAAAACGACGGTTCTCTTGGGCATGAAGATAACCAGAATCCGGTTCGGGTGCTTCGGTTGGTTCATGCTCATCGTCTTGTTTCATCTCGCGGTTTCCAAGGCAAAAGAAGGTAAGATACTCTCTTGGATCATCATCCCGACCCTTCTCCTGAAGAGCCTTGACAATGTCTTTATACATCATCTCCATCGTCCTTTTCTGCCAGTCCAATATGGCCTGAACAGATCCACTTTCTGGGATCCCTTCAGGCCACATTGGGACGACAACATAAACAATAAACTTTTGACCGGCTTCAATCTTGCTGACAATCTTCAAAGAAAGTTCTTTTGGAATAAGGTGCAACGCACCAATCTCATTTACATTGATATCGTCAGATTTCCAAGCAAATGAGCTTCCAAGGAAATATTGGTTTTCAATATAGATGAAGTTTTTTGCCCTTCTTATCGCGTTAATGTACGCATCTTGAATACTTCGATCAATTATGTTGTCTTTCCCGCTCACAAGACCCGCTTTCCCGGCTTCTTCGGGAGTGTCCGGGAAGCCAAAGGCGGCCCCACCATCGATAGACCTGAAAAGCTGGACATTCCATGTTTCTTGATCATCTGGGAACGTCACCGGAGATGGTGGGATTAGAATGTCACGAAGTTGTCTCAAGTCAACGAGTATATTTTTCCCACCTTGTTTTCGCCATCTTTGTTCAAAATTAAACAAAACATCCCAAGCGATTGGTCCTTCAACCCTAGAGTGAATATCATGCCATGGCTCCCGTGGACCACCTTTAGCTATGGAAGCTCCGGTGTAATTAGGTTGATGGAAATCATCATGGTGAGCAGCGTTTAATGTTTTAAAAAGAGGATGAAACGCATAATCGTATCTTCCATCACATAAATCAATACCACCTACAAAACTCACCACCCTTCGTTTATCTGAACCTCCGGTAGGCATCTCAGCGTCCACCACCACGATCTTCTGGTGATGAGTGAACATGGTGGACACTTGAAGATCCTGAAAAACGCTTCCTCCGTCATCAGGGTCACGCGGGCATAAAATGCAATGAACGTCGGTGTTTCGGAAGAAATTCTCAGTTTCTTCATCATGGGTAGCCATTAATCCGTCTTCTTTAAACACATTTACAGAAGTTCTATCGTCCCAAACGAGCATAGCCACCCTAACACCTTCTTCTGCTTTCCGTTTTAGAATCTGACCAAGCATGACGTCACCTCCATCCTTTTGTCTCTTTGGGTCTCGTATCAAAGCGATCTCAGTGTAAACAGACCATCCAGTAATGTAGATGAAGTGTTTTGCGTTAGTAATGGCTTCGAATATATCTTCCCAACATCTATGTGTCTCGTAGTATTTGCCACCTGCAAGAGCGATCTTAGGCATGAAATTTTCAGGGACATGAGCATCTTGGTATAAAGAGACTCGACATCCAGTTCTTTGAGCGAAGAATGTGTAGGGAACTCCAGGGTACTTCGCGTTTTTGATTCCATGAGCCCAGTTACGATCTTGAGTGACGTCAAAGAATTGTAGCTTTACGTGGATTTTGGATCCAGCTGGAACAGGGTTGTTGTTTTCATCCATGATCTCAATCCATTTGTCTACTTCATCTCCATCTATTAATTCTCTTACAGGCATATGAGCTCTTCCAATTAATGTTGCCCCGATTGGGTTATTGTCTTTAACAGTGAAGATCACGTCAGAAGCAGAGTGAGCACAGTAAATGTGGAATGACTCATACCATCTTGGGTTTTGGGGTTCGTTTTCTATCATCCTAGTTCGTCCAACTCTGCATTTTTCTAGATCGATCGTTGCGTAAATTTTCGGAGTTCCTTCCCCAAATCCAACGGTTTCTTGTATGTTCGCCATAAGCTGCAACAAGAAAAAAAAACGTATGTTTGCATGAAGAACACGAATATGCAGTTACGTCAAACTGTTATGATTACCCGTTATTAAAGAAAATAACATAAATTCTATGATAGTATATTATGTGATATGAGTGAGCAATCGTTTCAAAAGTATAAAATCACTCGTAATTTTTTAAAGAAGATATGAAATTATACCTTGCCGAATACATTAGGCCCACCACCTTCGTGAAGCTTATCAACCTCGTAGATTGTAACGTGAAGAGTTCCATGGAGAAGTACCTTAGACATTTTGTAGCCTGCACATTAAACAACAGAATCCAACGAATTACTCGTTTGTCGTCAATATAGCTTACCACATAATCGCTTTTTTTAACTACAGATAATATAATAATAACAAACATGTACTGACAATGCGTGATTTAAACGAATCGAGAATGAAATAACTCGAAGCAGATTACAAATCGATACCAGTGAATCAACAAAATTAACAGTATCCGTAAATAAAGTGATACACAAGCTCAATCACGACATGCAATTCATTTTATTTGATAGATCTATGAATCAGATGAACAATTGACGACATAAAACAATACTTACCGTTTGAATCGAAGTGAGAGAGATTAAAACATAAAGAATATGATCCGAACGAAATTGCTAAACGTAATAAGAGGGAAGCGGAAGAGTTGGAGAGAGAGAGAGATAGTGATCCGTGAAAACAGTTCTTAAAAGGCTTCAAAGTTAACCGGAAAAACCGTTTCTTTTTTTGGAATTCAAAAAATAAAGTCCTTACTTTTTTTAATCAAATCTGTAATAAAAACCACTCCAAACCAAATATATAAAAGAGTAAATAACTAAAATCATCCCTAGTTTAAAATTAAGTGTTTGGTCTTTAACATTTTTTTTTACATCCAGACCATCTTTATAGTTTCTTTTTGTTGTGATTTTCATCATCCCGACAAACATAAAAAAAAAAAAAAACTAATATACCCTTATCAAAATTTATTTACATTTTAAATTAAAGATTGTATTATAGAGTTAACTTTAAGTCTTAATAAAAAAAAAGTATGGTTCCCACACATCTCCATCACCCCCACCCCTTCCCTTCTAGACTTGAAGCCATCGATCATACGTCCAACCCTTTCAAACTCATCCCTAAACACCGATCTACACCTCAAGTTCTTATCGGAGCCTCCAGCCGGAAACTTGCATTTCTAATGTAGTTGTTGCCATCAGTCAACATGCTAACACCACCACCGAAACCCTAAAGTCGCCTAAAACCTGCAACTTTATTTTTCTTCTCCGCCTCTGCACGTCGTTCCTCTCAAACCCCATTTATTCTGGTCTCGCAGACATCATCAATTTCATCTGGAAAATCGTCTTCCATCAATTTCATCATCAGGAAAATCATATTTGACTTATGGGGCATCAGGTTAGGTTTTTCATTTTGGGTTTAATCCCATTGCGTTTAATCCAACCTGTTTAATCCCATTATATTTAATCTATTAACATCATCCATTTCAAATACAAATGAATTTAATCCTATTCACTTTTGGATTTGATTTCTGGGATTTCATCAGGTTTTTTTTTCTTTCATTGCCGATTTGAGGTTACGTTTTCAACTTAAGGTCTGATTTATTGATTTCGTTTTTATTTCAGCTTAGGTTCTAATTCAGGATTTCAGGATTTGACTTTGGTTAGTTTTTAATTCGAGAAATTGATCTTGGTCTGGTTTGATTTATAGGATTTGATCTTGGTTTTGGTTTGGTCCAGACGGTGATCGATTGTGGTTTGCAAGAGGTGAATGATGGTTGCAGTCGAGGTAAATGGTGATGCTTTTCGAAGGTGAACATGGTGGTTCCTAGAGGTAAATAGGGTGTCACTTGATGAATTGGATGATGTTGTCGACAGCCTGAAGAGGCGGGCGGTGGTGTTGTTGATAGTGATGGTGGTGGTGGTGGTTTTGCTGGTGGTGGTGATTGAAAATGATTGGTTGTAGTGGTGGGAGTGGGTCATGTCTATAAATCATTTAATTTCTTTTTTAATTAATAAATAACAAACTAAGAATAAAAAACTAAAAAATATATAACGGGTAAATATAGTCTTTTAATGTCTAATAGGGCAATAAAATCATACCACAAGACGGTCCTAGTGTAAAAATAATGTTAGGGACCAAACGTGTAATTTTAACCAGACGATAGGGATAATTTCATTAATTTACTCTAAATAAAAACCAAACCACGTAAGGCCAAAATACCCAAATCAAATAGGAGAAAAAACAAATCCGAAACTACTGTATCGTGTTTTGGGTTGGTTAATGGTTATGAGACCTCATCTAAGATTCTTATTTTTTTGCGTTTGGGATGATTATTGTGTTAGGATTATATTTGTCCGATAAGTATATATATATATATATATATATATATATATATATATATATATATATATATATATATATATATATATATATATATATATATATATATATATATATATATATATATATATTGTTTGGTTACTATATGCATTACATTTTCCATTCTTTTCATAAAAATAATTTGGTGACGTAGTTTCTATTCGGAGATGTTGTTCATTAATCAAAGGATATTTTTGTGAATGATTCAATTGTAGGTGGTTATTTTGATCTAAGTTAGAAGTGTTTTGTTGTTATAATTAGATTTCATTCGTTAATTATGATTATCCTTTGCTTGGTTTAGGTCAGACATGAGCGCACTCCTAGAAATTTGAGTCAAAATATAAAGAGAATGTAGAATACTTAAGAAAGATGAGAATGATAAATACTGTTTCAAAAAGTTTAAGAATATGTGAAAATGCTTAAGAATAACTATAAAGATTGAGAAAGGATAGAGAATTTAGAGGAAAATACAAGAATGCGTGAACACAAGTATATGAGAAAAATATTACCCTTGGTATCCTTACCATATATGGTTGTACTCTAAGTAAAACTGAAGGGTCATTTGATAGTTATTGGTGAAGTTACCGATGATTGAGTTAAAACTTCTGATCAATAAGAGTGAGGGGTCATTTAATACTTGTTGGTTGAGTTATTGATGATTGAGTTAAAACTTCTAATCGAGTCCATAGCTAATTGAAATCATGTTGTCTGATTATATTTTTGGTGAATGATGGAAAATGACCATATTACCCTTATGTTGTCTCTTATGTTTGATAAAATAATTATAAAAAATACAAACTGTCACACAAAATTTGAATTAAACATAAATCATTTAAAATTCAAATATAAATTGTCATACAAAATAGAAAAGAACATAATAATTTACATACAAATGTAACGTTAACCAGTTGAGAGTAGTTGACTAGTAATCTGGTTAGGCAAAGTAACCATATATTCAACGGCTTCTGAACCCCATTCTATGTCTTGTATGTTTTAGGTATCACTTCCTCCACCTTGCACATCAGGAGTAACGACAGTGGTCTCTTCAATTTTCATAAATAAGTGATATAGAAGATTGTATTTCCTTATAAAATTATGGATCATGGCACAAATAATGACTATGTCCCTTTGCACTGGAAAAGGATAAGTAGTTGTTTGCTTTAAGATTGGGAATCCCGCCTTCAATACACCATAAGCACGCTCAATAACATTCCTAAGTTGTGGATGAGCATGATTGAAACTTTCTTCTTTAGTTAAATCCCCACTTATTATAATATTGGCTAATAAATACCTAATATTGCGATAAAAAGCAATAAATCCATGCATGTTGGTGTATGCGGTGTCACAAAGGTGATATTTATCCGTAAATGAATGCGACATTTATTATCTATCAGTGTTGGTATAAAAGGTAATACTTATTGTTGTGGGTAGAAAATTTTAACTTCTTAATTTTATCTTAAACTTTTACTAACATCCCAGATGAACCCAAGATCTTTGATTTAATCAATATCTTGGGTTGCCATCATGTTTCTCATGAAATCTTATGCACTAAATTAAGGCTCGATGAAAAAGGAATATACCAAGTCAAACCACACGTGATCAATGATTCATGAACGTTGAAGCCCTCATGAAAGGCAGGTAAAGCGAATATTAAGGCGAATTCCAAGAATGTTAGAATTATAGTTATTATTGTTATGTATATAAAGACTAACTGATCGATACACACTTAACAACACACTTCCACTATTATTCTTCTCCAATTCTCTCGAAACTTGAGCACATTCACTTCATTTCTAAGATCAGCTAGCACCTGTAACATTATTTTCAATTTGATATAAGTTCTAAGACAGGTGATTTCATGACCTCCCGAGGTTTTATCCCTAGGATCCAAAAGGATTAAGGGCTTTCTTCATAATCCAATGTGTTTTTGTATTTACTTTATTCACTTGGTGTTGTTTGATAAAAAAAACAATCATTTCATTTATTTGTTTGTCTATTGATCTATTGATATTGCTAAAACCACTAAGGTATCTTCTGATATCTTAGTATATTTTTGAGTATGTTAAACTTTATTGTACAAATTTACTTACTAAATCTCTAAAACAATATTTTATCCCAAAATACACTTATTCATATTACAAAATATTACCTTTTAACCAAACACTTTTCTTAGTATCATAGTTTTCTACCCAGGATCTTAGACACGACCAAGATCTTCGACACATATCAATATATTAAGCACTTTGCTTTTATTATCCTTATTTCAAACATCACACCATACTTACTAATTTGGTTACGAAATTAGTTTGTTAATTTTTGACCAAAACACTTATTATATACAAAATATCGATATTCAAAGTTATAGAAAGATTATAAACCCGGTGGAGGGAATGGAAATCTAGAAGTCAGATTAAATGCAACTTCATTTAAAACTTTTTAAACATGTGCTATGCCCTCCCATCTTGCCCATAAAAAGGTGAATATTATATCAAAATCACAAATTCATATTACATTTTCATATCATTTACCTTTTTCTCTTCCCTTATAACTAGTTTGTTCATTAATGGGCACAACTGCATGTACAAAAGTTTAATCTAGTGCACCTATGACCTAGGAAATATGTCTTTCTTCCATCTATGTTGTTCCTGTTGGGGGGTTTTAGGTTACAATTACATTGTACATGCATAATTTCACTTTAGTTTTAAGGGTACATGTAACTTAAAGTAGATCTATGTCTTTTCACTATTAATAGCTACATACTTATGAAAACAAAACTAGAGAACCCTAGGAAATTGGTATCATGGTTAGAACCACATACCTTTGCTTGATTTGGAACAATCTTATCAAAACCCGTTGTAATCTCCTTGAAAAACTAGCTCTAAAAGTACGGTAGCCTCTAATTTGTCACACCTGAAATTCAAGAAACTCTAAGATTGAAGAAGAGAGGATAAAGGAAGGAGAAATTTTGGATTTCTCTTGCATATATGGTTAGACTGGAAATATAAGGGGTATGCCCCTTTATATAGTTCTCTGGTAATCTTAGAAACCCTAGATTTGAACGTAAAATAATAGTATTTCAAATCAGTAATTATCAAGTTTCCTTTAATCAGTTGGAGGCTTCCAGAAACCCCATCTTAGGGTCCCAAAATAGCCCCCTCTATAGGAAGGTTCTAGATCATCTATTTAGTTTAACTATTAAACAATTATGGCCCAACCCTTGCACCGTTAATTAATTCTAATTAACCCAGACTTAATTCTGATTAATTGTTAATTAATTATTACTATATCTAATTATTATATCAACCAAATAATATATTATCTCTCCACTATAATCAATCCAACCCGTTTCCAAGTTATAAGGGCAGCCCAACAAGGACTTTACTTTTATTCATCAACATTATACCAATTTAGTTAAGACCTTAGATACATTAATCCAATAATATCCCACTTGGATAAGTCGCTAATTATAATTGCAAGTACAACTCCTAATAACCAATAAATAATGTTTTCCAAAAACACTGCCAAACTCTGACTAGTCATTGGTCCTAAGCTAAGCGATCCACTATCCCTTTGTTCTTCGTAATATCGTATCAATATGAGATACTAATTATATACAATTACATTGTCCAATATTTTACTTCCCGCTTTTCCGATTTTTGATGATGTGATTAAACTACTAATTGAAAACATAAATTCAGCCCCGGCTGGGCCCAAAATGTGGGCGACGGAAACGCAGAGTTGTGTGATGTAGGGATATTGGATCACAGTCATTGAACATACATTAAACGGTACAAAACAATATAAAACACAAAAATCACTTCCATTATGGATAAAAAATAGTACATCAGAATATGTTTATGAAAACTAGAATTCTGATTACAAAACTTGCCTTAACAATTAGGCACAATTATAATGATAATAAGTCTTTGGTAGCTTCGTCGATCAACCGCTGTTTTCGAAGGTGCAATATTCCATCTCACGGTTTCCTAGGAATACATGTGGTTTTGAAAACGTGAACATAGTGTCAGTAAGTTCATAAGTTTGAGTATTATATCTTTGAAAATACATTTTATGCATAACTTTATTAAGATATAAAAGTATTTTGATTTAAATTCTTATGGTATCTCCTAATAATATTTTACTATTTCTAGATGCTAAAATTTCGATACTTTATTATTATTTTTTATCATATACTACAATTCTTCTTAAATTTTCCCCTATCAAATGGAGTATAATATAATCTTATCTCTAATATCTTTATTTCATAGATGCATGGTGCTTGTACTTTATATTCTAGAAATATGCTCTAAGATACTTATATTTTTAGAGTAAATATATTTTTATCCCAGAAGTATGCTCGTGTAAAACAATTATTATATTTTATTATACTTTTATTGTAGAAGTATGCTAGTGTAAAACAATACTTCTATTTAGATTGATTATATTTTTATTCCAGAAGTATGCCCTTGGATACTTATATTATTATACTTGTATTCCAGAAGTATGCTTGTGTAAAACAATACTTCTATTTAAAGTGATTATACTATTTTTCCAAAAGTATGCCTCT